GGCAGGCGAGACCTCATCTCTACAATAAAATCAAAAAATTAGCCGGGCGTGGTAGCACGTGCCTGTGGTTCCCGCTACTTGGAAGGCTAAGGCCGAAGGATTGCCGGAGCCCAGCAGGTCGAGGCTGCAGTGGCTGGGAGCAGCCACTGCACTCCAGTCTGCGACAGAGTGAAACTCCAACTCAAAAAGAAAAAAAGAAAAAAAAGCTTATCAGAGATGTCCATCCCATGGTCTATTTTATTACATGGAGTGTAGTAGTACTCCTGTAACTAATAATAGAAAAAATGAAATTGAATACAATGTTTCTCAAAAGAATTATGAAAAAACCCAAGTACTGATATATTTTTGCCAACTCTGTCAAAAACAGCTAAAGCTTTGCCCAGATTCTAGTAAATCATAGGAGATGCATGCACAGGGTGCATGGGCACCCTACAGAAAAGTAAAGTGTTGTTGAATGGGCTTCAAAACTATTCAAAGGGCTTGTTTAATACAATGGCCCTTAAGTCTGAACATAAGAGTAATTGATTCAGAACATCTGGGTTTGGGCTGGAGATCTGGGTCCTCCTCTTCTGAGAGACCATATGAGACATTCTTGAGGTAAGGGGATGATCTTAATCCCAAACCTTCATTACTGATCATATTTATTTAGATGTTCTCTTCCATTTTGGATAGTCTAGTTAATGGTCTATCAATTTTGTTTATCTTATTGAGGAATCAAGTTTCCATTTTGTTCATCCTTTGTATTGTTTTTGCCCTTTTCTATATCACTTGTTCCACCCTGATCTATGTTATTTCTTTTTGTCTATGAGTTTTTCTAATTCCTTGAGTTGTGACATCAGATTGTTAATGTGTAGCCTTTCTGCTTGATTGATATAGGCATTTAATACTATAAATTTCCATTTTAACACTGTTATTGCTGTATCCCAGAGGTTTTGTTATGTTGTGTTTCCATTTTAATTTGTTTCAATTTTCTTATTACATTTTCTTTTCTTTTCTTTTCTTTTCTTTCTTTCTTTTTTTAGAAAGCAGGATTTATTGAGAGGACAGAAAAGCTCCCACAGTGGGAAAGGACCCAAAGGGGTTGCCCTAATTTTCTTGTTACATTTTCATCTTAATCTCTTCATCGACCCAAAGATCATCCAAAAGCATGTTATTCATTTTCATGTATTCATATAGTGTCCAAAGTTGCATGTATTCATATAGTGTTCAAAGTTGATTTCTAGTTTCCTTCCATTGTAGTCTGAGAAAGTATCTCATATAATTTTAATGTTTCTAAATTTGTTAAGACTTGTTTTGTGGTCTACTCTGTGGTCTATCTTGGAGTGTTCCATATATTGATGAGTAAAATGTATACTCCACAACTGTTGGGTAGAATGTTGTATTGATTTCTGTTAGATCCATTTGGTCTAAATCCAATTTAATTCCAATGTTTCTTTGTAGATTTTCCATCTCTATGATCTGTCTAATGCTGTGAGTGGGGTGTTGAAGTCCCCCACAAGTCTCCCACTATTATTGTATTATTCTTTAATGTCTTTCTTAAGGCATATTACATTTGTTTTTTGAATTTAGGTGTTCTGGTGTTAGGTGCATATATATTTAGAATTGTTATATCAACTAACTAATTTCTTTATCATTATATAATGGCTTTTTTGTCTTTTTAAAAAGTTTTTTACTTAAAGTTTGTTTTCTTTGATATAGGTATAGCTACTCCTGCTCGCTTTCCCCTCCCCCCCCCATATGTAGAATATCTTTATGCTTCTTTTTACTTTCAATCTATATGTGTCTTTAGAGGTAATGTTTCTTGTAAGGAGCATGTAGTTGGTCCATGTGCTATATCTATTCTGCCAGACTTGGAGGGTCTACAAAATAGAAGTCTACACAACATTCTACCCAACAATTGCAGAGTATGCATTTTACTCATCAGCACAGGGAACACTCTCCAGGTGAACATTTACTTTATTTACATTCAAGGTAAATATTGATATGTAAAGTTTTGTTCCTATCATATTAATTGTTTTTTAGTTGGTTTTTTAAAAAATTAATTCTGTGTTTCTTTTTCTGTATCTTTTTGTGTTTGTGTTTCAAAGGGATACTGTAGTGGTGCCATTCTCTTCTTCTTCCTTCTATATGAGATTGCTTTACCTGCGCGTTTTATACACTTTTGTGTGTTTTTATGATGCTGAATACTGTCCTTTTCTTTTCAAGTCTAGAACTGTTTTAAGCACTCTTTTTGGGCCAGTCTAATGTTGATTTCCCTCGGTATTTTGCTTGTCTGGGAAAGACTTTATTTCTCCTTCTTTTAGGAAGCTTAATCTTGTTGAATGTAGAACACTTGACTGGCAGTTTTGTTTGCTATCAGCATTTAGAACTTGCTATTTCATTCTCTTCTGTCTTATAGGGTTGCTGTTATTCTGATGAGATTTCCTTTATTAGGTGACTAGTTACTTTTCTCTTGTTAATTTTAGTATTCTTTTTTCACTTTGACTTTAGGCAGTCTGGTTATAATATGCTGTAGTGAAGTCCTTCTTGCAACATATTTTTCTGGGAATCGATGGGTCTCCTGTATCTGGATATCTCAATGTTCTAGTAGACTTGGGAGGTTTTCATCAATTATTTTGTTAAATAGATTTTCTAAACTTTTCAGTCTTTCTTCCTCCTCAGGAATACCAATAATTCATAAGTTGGTTGCTTTACATAGTCGCAAACATCTTGAAGGTATGTTTCCTTCTTTTAACTTTTTTCCTTTGTCTGATTGGATTATTTCAGAGAACATGTTCTCAGGTACTAAGATTTGTTATGCTACTTGGTCTAGTCTATTGTTAAACTTTTTGAATGTATTCGGTGGTTCCTCTTATGAATTCTTCAGTTTCAAAATTTCTTTTAAAAAATATATATCTATGTTCTTGGTAAAGTTCTCATTCATATCCTGAATTGATTTTCTGATTTTTTTTTGCATTGGATTTCAGGTTTCTCTTGATTCTCATGAAGCTTTTTTTAAAATCAGATTTTTAAAATTTTTATCTGATGTTTCAAGTATTACATTTGGTTAGGATTTATTGTTGGAGAATTATTGTGTTCTTTTGGGGGTGTTATATTACTTTGCTTTTTCATGCTGTGATAGTGATACAATTTATTCCACACCTTTTTTTCCTGAGAGATGTGCTCAGTTGTCCCAGATGATAGATTGGGTTGAGAAATACCCAGAAGTTGAAATTTCAAGTTCTGTCATGGGGGTAGAAGAAGTGTAGATAGAACAGGCAAGGTTGCACTTAGGCCCCTCAGTGGCAGGTTTATGTACCACTTCTATGAGGGTGCAGGGAGGCCTCAAACTCTTGGCAAAATGCTTGGGAGGAGTAACACTTGGTGGGCTGAAGTCTTAGTAGAGGAACAGTAGAGCAGTACCAGCAGCCACAGTTTTTGTCACAGGGAGTGAGACTTGTGTCCCTCTCATGTCCCTGTCAGGTAGGTCTCCCTCTTCCATCCTGGCTGTGGCAACATCCAGGC